ATGTGGCAGGGCCATTGGTGCTGTATGGAGAGGGAGGTGTGGAGAGGGTTCCTTGGTGCTGTATGCATGGTATGGTCTGGACCAGGTACACTGGTACTGTGTGCATGGGGTGGTATGGACTGGGTACATTGGTGCTGTATGTAGGGAGGTGTGGACTGGGTACATTGGTGCTGTATGTAGTGAGATGTGGACTGGGTACAGTGGTGCTGTGTGCTGATGGTGTGGAGTGAGGATGCTAGTGCTACAGCCATGGAGTAGTGTGAGGCAGGACATGGCAGAGAATATGCTCATATTGTCCTTGTTCCCAATCTAGGCTCTTGCGCTTGGTAGTTGTGGCCTTGAAAAAATTATTTACTTTTCCCAGCGTTGATCATCTAGGTGTAAGCAGAGGTGAATGTCAAGCCTGTCTATGTTATTAAAGGATGAAATGAAGCCTCCAGTGCCCTGGACTCTGCTTGGCGCACAGCAAAGGCTTAGCAAATAACAATTTTGGCCCCTCACCCCATGGCACTGTCTCTAAGATGTGTTTTTTCCCTTCATTCACATTTTTAGCAGTGAGACTGACACCTAGACTCCCCGTGATGAGTTTTTTTCTGTCTCCCACAATTCCCCTGGTTCTTTGTGCAGTTAATTCAGCAGTTGCCTAGAGAGGCATTACCTCTCATGGCCAGGGATGCCACGCTTGGTGGGCACAGTGTTGAGGCAGCACATCCAGAGTGACAGCATGTTCACTGTGCTGCCTTGGACAGCAGGCTCTTGGAGAGCACAGGGCAGCTGCTCTTAATCGGCTTGTGCAATCTTCCATGTAGTACCTAGTGCATTTGTATTATCAGAGGGAGCCTCGGCCAGGCCCTTGGGCCCACTTGAACATGGCACGCAACTTGGCACTACTGGCATATGGTGGGTTTTCTGTTGTTGGTGGTGATGTGTTGTAGGGGAAAGGGACGGTTGGCTGTGCTGTTCCATTACAGGACATATTGTAGCATGTCTGCTACATGCCGGTTACAACAATTAAAACCAGATGTTGATGAATGTTCCTGGGCTAGAGCTGTCCTGGAGACTAGAGGATCAAATTGCCTCCTGTGGAAGAGGCAGGAACTGCACTTGGGATTTGGGACTCTGTGGAAGTGAGTGTAGTTCCTGTATACTACAGAGCAATAGGAAATAGGATTCGAATTTTACCTACATGTAAGTTAATAGATTTGAGGACCCAGCAAGACGGCTCAATTGGAAATCCTCTCCCTACAAGAACCAGGATCCTGTATGGACACCTATTTGTATCCCAGCTGCTTCACTTCCCATCCAGCTCCCTGCTTGTGGCCTGGGAAAGCAGTGGAGGATGGCCCAAAGCCTTGGGACCCTGCACTGGTATGGGAGACCCGGAAGAAGCTTCTGGCTCCTGGCTCCTGATTCCTGGGATAAGCTCAGCTCCAGTTACAATGGCCGTTTGGGAAGTAAAGGTTGTGACTGTATTCTGTAATGTGTGTGTTTAATCCGGAGTGTTCCTGAATTAAGCGGCAAGGTGCAGAGTGCACCTTGTGTGGTAGGGAGAGCTCCAGGCTGGCAACAGAGAGATCTGGCCCACCACCGTGGGCTCCATAGTACCAGGCAGCTTGCCTGGTGCTTCAGAGCCTGGAGAAGTTCAGTGGCTTCTCTGGTCCCCTCTTAGCTCTAGGATTTGGGGAGACCTATTTTTTATGAGCTCCCTGCCATGTGCTGGCACTTCTAATTTGGAGCATTTTGGTATGCTAGCAATTCTGTAATTGAGTTCAGTTATCACCACAACTTTCCTCTGTTCCCTACAGTTAAGTTGGGATGTGCAGAATATAGTGAGATACAGAATTCTCTTTCCTTCTCTGAAGAATTTTGCAGATGGCACACGTGCCTGCCGGCAGTGTTTTTTTGTTGGTATGTTTTTGTAGTTGTCATTGTTTCTGTTAGACAACACGACTTGGGCAGCACAGTGGGTCATCCTAGTCAGCCAGCTGCCTAGCTTTCCAGGGCTGATATCTGCCCTTCGTCTGAACCCAGAGCTCTAGTTCCTGGGCAAGTCGCTCCCAATCTATTTGTGCAAACAGCCAGTCCCTCCCCAGCCCTGACCCACTGACCTCCCTTAGCATCTGAGTCAAGCTGAGGTGCAGAATCACTGTGCAACCTCTTCTCTGCTTTCACAATAAGTATCCATCAGTGTTTCCTGTTTTCATTCATGGAGTAAGTTGAGTAACTATAACAAAAAGAAAGGAGATAGCCAAGACAAAGAATTGTGGCTTGAGCAAACACTGTATTGCAAGCCTTATTAAATATGCAGATATGTGAAGCCTGCCTGGCATGCTTTTCAGGAAAGCTAAATTGTACGAGGTGGACTTGATAAATCCAGTCTTGTATCTTTTTTACAAGTTTCTGGACAACAGTGGACAGGATAAGGAAATAGATTTGCTGATTTGGGATTACAAGGAAAGCTCCACTCAGAAGGAATGCTTTGCCCCCTCTCAAAGATGGTCTTCATAGCAAGTTCCAGGGATCCTGGGGCACAGAGCTGGAGCAGCTGCCCAGTGTCAAGTCATCAGTGACACCTTACTAACGGGGTTCTTGCTTTTGAAATTATTCCCTGCACATCAGCATACCTTTCCATGCTGTTTTCCTTGGCAGCCTGATATTTGAAAACAAACAGCCTGAAAATGATTACATGCCGTATTTCAGAACAGTTTTCAAAGTATGAGAACTTGGCACTTTCTTCTGTTTTCTTCACACGATCTGCCTCCGTATTTCCTTTGCCTTTGGAAGCCTTTGGAACTACATCCTGTTTCCTGCCCCCAACTGAAATTGTCTTTATTGCCGTGTGTGTGTGTGTGTGTGTGTGTGTGTGTGTGTGTGTGTGTGTGTGCGCTTCCCCCAACTTTTCTAGTGTGAAATCAAGCTTAGCTAGTTTAAGTAGACATTTGAGACAATTCTATCTTATCAGATACAGCATGTTTAACCTTTCATTAAAACTGTTTTGGGATTGTAAGTCATCAAAAAGATAAGTGTAATAGGGAAGATTAAGAACTTAATCTTCATTCTAAATTCTGCTTTTTTGTGTCTGTCTGTTTCTAGAATTATGGTCTTTATACCCCCATGGGCTTCCAAGTCTGCTGTCTTCTATCACTTACACATGCCAGGTTCCAGGTTGGGTCATGACAAGCTCCCCGCCCCCATGTTTGTGAGCTCAGAGAAACAGTGATGAACACTTTACATGGCATGAGTTACCTCGTTTGGTCCTGCCGACATGTCATTCAAGGGTGATGAGACTTGGGTGAAATGCCTAAGGGTCGCACAGCTGAGAAGGAATGGGGACCCTGTCCAGGAGACTAAGGCACAGGCTGGTCACCCGTGGGCCGGTTCCATCCACACTGGACCTCCTCTCCTCCCCTAACCCCCCCATAGCGAAAGGCCTTTGCCAACTGCTTTGTTTCTCTTCTGTGATTCTACACGATAAAGTTAATACTTGCTCTAGATAAGTGACAGCAGTCCTTGCTGTCTAATAAAATCCCAAGAATTGTCCCAAATACAGTGTAAGAAGGAATGTCTTTTACTTCTTCAATCTGTTCTGTTAAATTGTTCAAAAAATATATATAATAAAAGATACAATGGCTTGTAATTATACTCATTGCCAATTAATTCTTTTAAAGGGATTTTTAAAATTTGTCATAAATTTTTATATCCTCCAGTCTTATAACCTCACCCTTGGAAATTTATTCCAAGAATATAATTTGAAAGAAATTAAAGCTCGTATGCCTAGATCTTTTCCATATCACATTGTTGACGTTGGGAACAAACCAAATACTCAGTAATAGGAGAAACATTTTACAAATCTTGGTGCATTAACAATTAAATTATGCATTGCCACTTATAAATTTGAAAGTTTGTTGTAAAGGGCAGACTTCAAAATCCTGCCTGCATGCACAAGTTGTACTGACTGAGAAGTCCAGATGAACAAGAAGAACTAATTCATCTGTTTAGAGTTTGAAATAACATGCAGATTTATTGTAGATTTATTGTACTTATTCTGTGCTAAAATGTGTATATCAGGGAATGTTAGAAACTTTTGTTTATTTGTTCACATTTGAAATGTTTTTAATTTCTATCCTGGAGCGTTTTGAAAGAAAAAACAGTGAATTCCTTATTTGTGCCATCAGTCATGCCTGGGTACACTGTCAGTGTATAAGAGGGCATTTCAGGATTAACTACTTTCGATTCCATCCCTAGCTACCTTTCCTAGCCCAGGGTGCTCCCCAAGGTGGTCTTCTTGTTGGGACTTGGTGAACATGCTGGTTCTGATGGCATGGTTCTCCTGGGAGGCCCCGATTCCACAGTTCCCAGTCGCTCTCAGTGCTGCTGCCTGAGCCAGCTCTGGGGCACCTGCTGAGTAGCAACATGGCAGAGCGTTTCTTGTGGTGTGAGAACGCTGCTGACCCAGTGTCTGTATTCCCTCTGCGCTCTGCGCGCTTGCCATGCTTACTCCCCTGTGGTTGTGGAATGGTGGGGCTCTCCGTATTGGCTTTGGTAATCCACACCCAGAAGCCACTCAGCTAACTTCAATTCTATCTTGGTCAACAGGTGACACTGAAATAAAGAATAGGAAAGGACCTCCTGCAGTAATTAAACTGTCATTGTCCTTTGACACGCTTTGGAACCTGGTCACGAATCCCATATATTTTAAGAAAAGCTTTGTTTGAAGTTAAAATCTGGGAGGAAAACTATTGGCCTTGGTAGTGAATTCTTCAGGCCTGGTGATGGGAATCTGGGCGGGGAGGCCTCTGTTGAGGCATTTAAGGAAGTAGAATGTTAGCCATGGCCATGGGAAGATGAATTTACCTTTTCCTGCGAACAGGAGGTCATGGTATGTGGCAATCCAGAAGTGCTGAGGCATCGAAGCTGTCCTCTGAGCTTACCTTATGATGATGAGGCCAGAACTGACCACAGGTTTGGAAAATAACAGCCCCTTTCTTAACCTTCCACAGTGACTGAAGCTGGATTTGGTGCCGATATTGGAATGGAGAAATTCTTCAACATCAAATGCCGAGCGTCCGGCTTGGTGCCCAACGCAGTTGTGCTGGTAGCCACAGTGCGAGCACTGAAGATGCATGGGGGCGGACCGAGTGTAAGTCCTAAGTGATATATTTTTTTAAAAAGTGGGGGAGGGGGGTTTGATTCACCTGACATGGAGTCTGGCTGGTCTGGCAGTTGTCTGGGGCGCCTCCTTGCATTGCAAGTGGCCGCTGCCAGGCCCTGAGGGTCACTTCAGGTGCAGAATCAATCCCCAGTGACTTCTGAACAGCCTTTAGAATGAGCACAATAGAGCCACCTCGAAGGACTGGCTGTCTTCAGATCTGTACCTGTATTAAGCCAGTATTCTATAACCACGTGGTAATGGGAGGACAGAGGCCCTTGCGCCCTGGACGAAAAACACCGGGATTAAGGCAATTTCTTTGATGCCTGCGGGTTTTTGGTGTTTACACAGATAGTTTTTGGGTTCACTGGTGCTCCAGTTCATCGGATTTCATCTAAAACTGTTTTCCTTCTGTTTCTGTTTATTCTGATTTTACCTCGTGACTCTGTTATTGCCTTGGAATATTTCTAATTGAGCTTTGTGTGGAAGACACAAATTCTGTTTTAACATTTTTTAAAGACTTTTGGTAGTTATCTGTCTCAAGATGGTAACAGGAAAGGTGTGTGTGTGCTTTGTTTCTGGCATATTTGGTTGTTATTTTTTCATTTCAGAAGTTTCTAAGTGGAGGAAAAGAAACCTTTTACTGATTAATCACTTTGAAATGAAGTAATTCCTGGTTTCTTTGTCATTACAATGTGGACATATAGGACAAACAGGCCAATCTGATTTCTAATTGGTATGCTGTGTACACAAGTCACATACTCAACAATTATTACCCAGTAAGCATGATAACAGATTTGCTGTCAGAAAACACTGTAACATTTGCTGTTTGATCATTCTAGCAGTTGTTTGTCCTGAGTGAGGCAGATGTGATTTCTGTATCATTTTCCGGGTGAAGAAGCCGGGGTCTTAACAAGTTTAGGGTATGTGGGAGCAGCCGTCAGGCAAGCAGAGGCAGGTCCAAAGCAGAGATCTTCGCTCCCTCATTCTCTCTGCCATGTTGAATTTAGTATTAATGGAAAACGCTCTAAATTTCAAATGTACTCTCAGTGTTGGACACTGAGACCTTTCATCTCTGCCTAGGGCTTCTAGCATCATTTCAAAGCAAGATGGCTATACTGTGCAGCCGTGCTAGTCATTCCCGGACATTACACTTTGAATCTGCAAACCGATTTCCAAAGGGGATTCCATTTCTCTATGTTGTACGCATGTGAGTGTCTCCCTTCAGTTCCTATGGGATTATAAAAGCAAGGCGCTTTGGCATGGGACAGTGCTTAGAGACCCTCTGGCCTGGCTCACTCTTCACAGAGAGGTAGTCGGTGAGGCACAGTGAGAGGCAGTGGCCTGGCAATGGCAAGATTCTGGTTAGATGACGACTCAGACCTACAGCCAAGGTCTCTGCACTTTCATTCCAGTTTTCCCCCAGACTCTGTGAAACTGTCCACCTTGTCTTCAGGGTCCATCTCAGGGCAGATGCTGTGTTGCATTGAATCCTTTCTGCTTCTTCCACTGCCACACCAAGTCCTGGTTTTACAATGGCCGTGATGAGGCTCCTGTAAGGTGTGGAGGTCTGAGGAAGCGGAGTCCGTTCTCTGGCCTCCTGCAGCTACTCTGCCTCATATTGTTCTACAAATGTCTATTTTTGTGTTTCCTGCTCAGTTCTGAATGCTTTGAGATAAGTAACTGTGTCTTATTAATTGGTTTGCCCTGGTGCCTGGAAGAGTCTGTATCCAGGAAATGTTTTCAGTAAGTGGATGATAAGTGAACTTCCATCTCCTTAATCCTTTGTTTCATATTACCCTTCTCTGTGTTTCTTCATCTTACTTGAAATAGCTCTGTGATGTTTTTGATCCATTAAAATTTCTACTTCCTTTTAATATCATTATACAAATAACCAGCACTGCCTCTTAGCTTATTCAGCTTGTATGTTTTTCCCCATAATTTTTGCAATGGAAAAGCTTCTGACCCTTGAACTTGCCCATTTTAGTCCCAGCCATTTAAATTCACATCCTGTCTTCCAAACAGCTCACCATTCTTGGTGTAATACAAGCATCATTACTCTATTAAACTTTGGGATCCATATAGCCCTTTTACAACTAATTCTTTAAACCTACTGTTGGGGCCAGTGTTGTAGCACAGTGAGTTAAACTGCTACCTGTGACATTCTACATGCGTGCTGGCTAAAATCCCAGCTGTTCCTTCTGTTCGTGATAGATGCACTTGGCAATGCAGTAGAAGATGTTCCAAGCATGTGGCCTCTTGCTAATAACGGGAGATCCTGGTGGGCCTCCAGGTTCCTCGACCCAGTTGGGGAGTAAACCAAGGGGGGAAGGTCTCCTCCTCTCTCTCTCTTTGAAATCAATGAACAAATTTTCAAAAATAGTAAAATATAAATAAATCTGTTTAATTTACCAGAGTTCCCCAGAAAAGCAGAACCAATGGGGTGTATGTATGTGATGGAATTAGGTCACATGATTGTGGAGGTTTAATCGCTTCTCGGCCTTTTGGCTAAGATCAAGTGATTGTGGAGGTTTGTCTATGTGACAAATAAGACCCACAAGGGCCAAGGGTGTGTCTCCAGTCAGCTGGAGATTTCTGCTTTGCTTAGGGGAGTCCTGCCTTTGGCTGTGTTCTGACCTTCAGCTGGTTGATTGAGACCCACTCACAGACAACAGCATTTAATAAAAACAAAAACAAAAAACCGCCTGGAATAGGGGCTAGCGTGGTGGCATAGCGAAGTTGGGGTAGCATTTAACCAAATATCTGGGTACTCTGTGACTCAACCAGATTGATACATGCAGTTAACCATTATACCTGTTACGGTCCAGCTGCACTTCAGAAAGTTCATGGAAAATGGAATTAAAGGATAATTCCATTATATGCTGCAAAAATGTGAAATCCATGCATATTATGAGAAACCATCACATGGACTTGCAAAATTTTTTGTGCCAAAAAAAACCAACCACTTTTCAATTCCATTTTCCATCAAACCACATTTCAGTTCCGTTTTCCATCAACTTTGTGTAATCCCTTCCTATGTGACACATGATCACATCTCATTTTCTTTCTTTTTTAATTTTAAGTTTATTTCAAAGGTGAGGCGTTCATAGATACCTGTGGGCATGTTCGGGCGTGGAGGATCGGGGGGAGAAGGTGGTCTATGGAAGAGCGCCATCACCTGACCATGTGCCAGTCTTCATTGATCTTGGGAGGGGAGTGAGTCAGAGAATTACTCCAGATCCCCCCTGTGAAGAGGAGTACTTCCTGTGGGAGGAGTTAACGGGTTAATAGATAGGTGAGTGGGATTTACAAAGAGCAACAGAGTGTGGCTTCCAGCACATGACCTACCTGTCCCATTTCGCTCTTCCCAAAGAGACTTCTGACTCAGTCTAAGAGTTCCTCAATGGTGCAGATTCGTGATATCTTCTGTATTTACTTCCTGCTGATTAGGGCTATATGGTTTGCCTATCCAAGGTTCAGAACTCTGTCTCATCTAATTCACTTTCTCCCAAGCCAAAGGCTTGTGGCTGCGTCCCCCATGTCTTCATCATACCCTGAGATGTTGTTGGAGTTCTTCACCCAGGAGTCAACGACGTAGGTGATCTGATCATGCAATGTGTACACTGAAGCCAGACCACACAGCCACTGGTTCTAGTCCCTGAGGTCAGAGAGGCTGACATGTCTGAGGCCAACATGAGATGAGAGGACAGGCTATTTGCCAATGCCAAGACCCTTTCATAAGCCTTCCTTTATAGCAGGTGCTTGGCCTAACCCAGCACAGTGCTGGTCCTCTAGGTTGCCCTGGCCTGTCTGCCCTCAACCCTAGCATAATTTCCTTTTTTCTATATTAATAAGCAATATACCTATCACTGTATTTTAATCCTTTTTTTTCCATTGCTGGTGATAGACAGGTGACTTGTAAAGAGAAGAAGCTTAATTAGCCCACAGTTGTGCAGGTTCAAGAGCCCACATCTGGTGGTAGCCTCGCTGACAGAGTCCCTAGACAACACACTGTATCACATGGCAGGAGACAGAGCATGTCCATCTGTGTGTCGATCTGGGCTTTCCTCCTCTTATAAAGCCATCAAGATTCAACCCTGGTCGTAATCAGTTTCAAGGCGTATACTTCTAATCACTGCAGATTGAGTTCCCACCCTCTTAATACCCATCTCACAAGGGGAATTAGCTTTTGACACATGAAGCCTGGGGGAACACTCAAACCGTATCCAATCCCTTACACCCTCTTTCTTCCCAGTCTTCAGGCTGAATGCTCTGTGATGAATCAATTCTCCACACATGTGTAGGTCTCCTTCTGGGTTCTCTGTCTCTGATCAGCTTATGTATTACTGTGTCTGTATTGCAGTGACGCCCCGTACTGCACGCTTCCCCATTTTTCTCATGCATGCCTGACCAATTTTACATTCTTTTCACTTTCACGTGTAGGATTAGCTTAGGAAGTTCTATGGATAATTGCTTTGGGATTTTTATTAGAATGGCACTAAATCTATGGATGATATTGGGAAATTTTATTGCTTTCTATCTAAGGATGTTGAATATTTCTTCATTGAGTTTAGTATATTAAATATATCAAAATATATTTAATAAGACCTAATATTTTAATAACTATTGAATTAGGTCTTTTAAAATAGGTCTTTAAAAATATATGTTAATGAAAGCTTGTAGTTTTTTTTTTTCAGTAAAGGGCTTGTACAACTTTTCATAGATGTTTTCCTATGTACTTTATATGTTTTTACATTTTAACAGGTTATTTCTATTCCTATACGTGGTTTTCATATCCGACGGCCTACCTAAATTGTATTATTGATTGTACTAGTTTAACTATAGATACTTTGGGAGATTCATGGAAGCAGTCATATCTGAAAATGATTGGTGGTTTGTTTCTTCCTTTCCAGTCTGTGTACTTTACTCTTCTGATGCCAGACACAGTATATCACTTTCTTATTCCTGGTCAGAGGAGATGCTATTAACAGTTGAACAGTAAATATGATGTTTGCTGTAGTTTTTGTGGAGCTATTTTTTAAGAAGTTAATATCATTTCCATCTAAGGTTGCCTAGCTATGATACTGAATGGAGTTTGATTTTTCGTCATCTGTTGAGAGCTGATGTGGGATTTTTTGATTGTTAATATTATAAGCTGCATGTCACTTTGCTTTCAAATATTATGACTCTTATATTGCTGGAATAAATCTAATAGATAGATAGATAGATAGATAGATAGATAGATAGATAGTACTGATTTGAATTTTTACATCTAAATGAGTAAGATGTTGGGCTCAAAATAAATTGAAAAGGACATTGTGGCTGAGTCGGGTAAGCTGCCACTTGTGACACTGGCATCCCATGTAAGCACCGGGTGCAGTCCTGGTTGCCCATTTTCCCATCCTACTCCTTGCTAGTATGTCTAGAAAAGCAGCGAATGATGGCCTAAGTGCTTGGATCCCTGCCAGCCACTTGGAAGACGTGGATGGAGTTCCAGATTCTTGGCTTCAGCCTGACCCAATGCTGTGGTTTGCTGTCATTTGCAGAGTGAACCAATAGAAGAAAGATTCCTCCCTCTCTGCCTTTTGAATAAGTGAATCTTTAAAAACAAAAATGAAACAAATTGACTTGAAGGAGTAGGTATTTGTTGCACTGGTTAGGATGCCACTTTGCTTTTCTCTTCATCTCCTACAAACTGCCTGCTTTCCACATCCCAGGCTACTTCTGACTCCAGCTTCCTGCTAATTCGCCCTCTGGGAAGCAGCAAAGGATGGCTCAGGTTCTTGGGTTCCTGCCCACCGTGTGAGAGACTCAGATGTTCCCAGCTGCTGGCTTCAGCCTGGCCCTGCCACAGCTGTTGCAGGCACTTAGGAATTTAACCTCCAGATGGAAGACACAACTTTCCTCGGGCTTTCAGACAAATAAAATGATCTTTGTAATAAATGGAAGAAGATTCTTTCTTTAAGGTGGAACTTATCTATAAAACTGGCCCTCTTGCTCATTGGTAAGAGGTAGATTTCTTAACTATAAATTAATCTACTTAATGAATAGTGGACCATTTCACTTTTTATTTCTTACATTAGTTTCAATAAAATTGTACTGCTGTAAGTTTCTCTTTTATATCCGTCCTTTAATCATTTTGCAATGGAGTTGGTCACAGTAACCTGTAATTCTTTTGCATCCTTTTTATCTTCTCATCTTACCACAGTTTTGTCAGTGTTGTTAGTTTTTATGAAGTTTTTATGAAGTTAGCGTTTGACATTGGCAATCACCTGGCATTTGCTTACAACGTATTCTTGCTGCTTTTGCCTAGTTCTTGGACTCTGTAGAATTTTGTGCATATGCAGGCGTGTATTTAGCCACACTTGTTAATAGGTTCTAATACAGCATTTTTGTTGTTTCAACTGAGAGCTTTCACTTGATATTTGTCTGTTCCATCTCTGGAAACCATTCTGTCCCAGTGATATCTCAGAAGGATTTCTGATGGTCTCAGGACTTCTCCTGAAAATAAAGTTTTTATGTCCTCATGAATCAAAATGTTTTCCAGTGCTCTTCAGCTAAACCAGTAGCAGGCTACAGATAAAAGCAACATGGACTGGTGAAAGCTAACATGGGGTTTCAGAGCTCTCTTTGACTCATGGGCGCATCTGTCTCTCATTTTGAGCAGCATTGGGCAAGGCACCTGCCTTCCCTCAGCTCAGTGTGCTCATCATTGCACTGCTCTCTCCCACCCCTTTGGGTTTTGTGAGAAACTGGACAATGGAAAGAAAGCGTAGTGATGGTGATTTTGCCATGATACACGATTGGTTTAGAATGATGCTGCACTGTCTGTAAATCAGGTGATAAACATGTCATCAGTTCCGTTTACACCAGGCTAACAGGCAATGGTGAGCTCTCAGCACGGGCTCACGTTAGAATCACTAGGGAGTCTTTAAACATTACTGATAGTGGGTTCCATTTCCAGAAATCCTGGTGCTTCTTATTAGTGTGGAGCCCAGGCATCTGAAAGCTTCCCGCACAGCTTTCTGTTCAGCCCACACCACCAGGGACTGTTAGCAGTGCTCAAAACGTAAGGCTCCCTTCCACAAAAGTGGCCATGGCTTAGTTTTCTTGGAGAACTTTATCAACTAGAATAAGAATTTTTCCAAGATCATTCCTAATTTTGGCCTCTTTGTGTTTTAGGTAACTCCTGGTGTCCCTCTTAAGAAAGAATACACCGAGGAGGTAAGTGGGGCTTCGTCAGATACTGGAGGGAAGGAACATCTCAATCTGCTTAGCCCCTGGCTTGTGGGTGACGATCAGTTTCTAAGGAAATTGGTGTGACAAAAGAAATAAAATATCTATTTGGTTGACATAAATTTCAAGATAAAACAGATTATGTGCTGTTCCCTCCATCCAGGGCTTTAGGAGAGCTCAGGACAGGGGTACATCTGATGCCTAGCACCTGTATCTATTAATATGGGAAATACTAACCTTTGCAGTAAATAGTTTTCTTTATTGACTTCTGTAAATAGAGTTGGGCTTACTGGCAACAGTACCTCTTAGCTCCTACAGGTGGCACCAGGGAGTTGAGGCAAGCATAGCTGGGCAAGGATCCTCTCACCCTCCCAGGGCCTTGTGCCTTGGGGGTCTGTTGGCCTGCAGAGTCTGGGCACAGTTCTTGTGTCCTGGCAGTTTCCAGACTCTAAAACCACATTTTCAGTAGATCCAGAATTCTCGTACACGTTGTTTTGAAAATGAAGCTCCTCCTGTGGCATCTGCCTGACTTGGAGGAAAATGTGATGGATGGTCTTCTGTCGAAGCTGGGAGTAGCTCAGTCTTGCTGGGTCTGATTGCCTTGCAGAACATCCAGCTGGTGGCCGACGGCTGCTGTAACCTCCAGAAGCAAATTCAGATTGCTCAGCTTTTTGGGGTTCCCGTGGTGGTGGCGCTGAATGTCTTCAAGTAAGTCCTGCCTCCTGCTCCCCCTGTGGTCCCACCACGGGGCCACCCTGTGAACTGTGCTTGTGTCCGGAGGCTAGCTGGTCCTCCCAGCTCCATTGCAGTGCAGGCAAAGACACTCAGCTGTTTGTGTGTCTGCTTTGGTTTCGTTTTAGCGGATGCATTCGCTAAACATTGTTAGGGAAATGAAATTTACATAGTAAATTACCATTTATTTCTGTGGCTTTTGGTTGGTGGGGGTGGGGTATTTTTATTGTTATTATTCCACCCAGCACGTCTGTCGGAAAGACCGGTCAAAAGGCTTGGTTGTGGAATTTTCTCGATAAAACTCTCAACAACTTGAAATACTTGAGTTTTGTTACAAATTTTTTTCCCAGCCCTTTCTTTAAGAATGATTTATTTAAACACGATGTGACCGCTTTTGATGTTTAAAATATATTCGGTGTTAGAGTGAAGTTCCACATAAACGGTTAGTCTGTCTTTAAAAACATGGCTAAGTGAATACAGATGCGAAGCCACAAACGTTCTCCTCCCAGGACCGACACCCGTGCAGAGATCGACTTGGTTTGCGAGCTGGCCAAGCGGGCTGGTGCCTTCGATGCGGTCCCCTGCTATCACTGGTCGATCGGTGGAAAAGGGTCGGTGGACTTGGCTCGGGCCGTGAGAGAAGCTGCAAACATGGGCAGCCATTTCCAGTTCCTCTATGATGTTCAGGTAAGATACGATGACATCACCTAGTTCCTGCACACCCCAACTCTGTGCCAGGTCTACAGTGAGACCTCTCTGGGCCTCCCCATTCAGGCTTCATGATATCCTATAGGTAAGGACCCTAAGGATCACAGAGAGAGGGGCCCGCTGACCAGGATCCTGTGCCATGAGCAGATCCCAGCTCCCTGTCCCAAAGCTGTGCTTCCATGGGGAGCCCTAAGTGAGGAGGTGAACGGGCCACAGGGCTGTGCAGTTCGCACCAGTGGGACTGCATGGGGTTGGACTGCCGAGCAGGTGCCTAAACCTGTGAGATCATGGACACAGTTCCTCTTCTGCTTCTCCCCTGGTTCCTTTCTCTCCTAGAGTTCCTTTGAGTAATCTCTAGTAAATACAATCTATGATAAAATACATAAGGCTTAGCCATCTCAACTATTTCTGAGAACGCAATCTGTGGCTGTGAAATCCATTCCCGCTGTTGCTCAAGCAATCCTTAGATCCCTGTTCATCTTAAACTTTGAAGCTCTGCACCTGTTAAACAGTAACTCCCTGTCCACAGCCCCACACCAATCTCTGGCATCACTCCCCATCCTCCTGAGCGCCCCCCCTCCCCAGTCTCTGGCACCACTCTCCGACCACCTGTGCCCCTCCCATCCCTGTCTCTGGCATTGCTCTCCAGTCCCCATCTACCTGAACCCCCCTCCCCATTTAGTGGCACCACTCCCTGTCCACCTCAGCTCTGCCATCTCTGGCACCCACTGCTCTACTTGGTATCTATGATTTTTGACCACTGGGGCTCCCTCTTTGAAACAGGTTCGTGCAGTATGTGTCTATTTGTGACTGGCTTATTTCATTTAGCATTATGTTCATGTATGCTGAAGCACATATCAAACTTTCTTTCCCTTTGGAAATTGAATAATATTCCATGGAAACCATGCGTCACGGTTTGTTTATCTACTCCTCTGTAGGATACTTGGGTTGTTGCTGCCTCGTTGTTATAGTTAATAATGAACGTGTATGAACCTACCATGAACCTGTATGATCAGAGCATTTATCTTGTCAAGACCTTGTTTGTAATTGTTTTGATGTAGTCAGGAGTGGAATTGCTAGATTATTTTATATACACACACACACCTTTGATTCAGAAAACAGACTTGTCCTCATGGGACGTCCATCACTTGCAGAGTGCTCAGCCTGCAAGGTTGCAGTGTCTTCTGTTCGTCTGTCCTTCGGATGTCACAGATGGTGACAGTCTTCCTCTTTCCTGTTCCGGTGGTGTGATTCAACAGCACAAGGAAACAAGAAAACACTCTAAATACAAGGAGAACTTAGCAGCACGGCCTGTAAGACTGGAGTTTATCAATAGAGCTGGAGGTTGATTTGGGATTGAGGCTGTAGCTTTAGGGGGACTTCCCAAGAGCTGCCTAGATGGACACCTTGCAAATGTTCACTTCTTTCATGTGTATGTGTGTGTGTTTATATGCATGTATGTGTGTGTGTATATGTTGTTATTTACTTACTCATTTAAAACACAGAGAGTTCCCATCCTTCACTTCTCTCCCTACATCCCCCCAACAGCCGGGACTGGGCTAGGCCAGAGCCTAGAGCTGGGAGCAAAGTCTGTATCTCCCACAATGGTGGCAAAAGTCCAACTACTTGAGCTGCCTCCCATTGCCTCCCACAGTGTACCACAGCAGGAGACTAGAATTGAGAGCAGAGCAGGTACTGTATCCCAACCTGGGCAACCAAATTTGCCAGGCCAAATGCCAGCCCCCTATGTTGACCTCCCTAGTCGTATATCCCTTCCGGGTCTGAACTGTTGAAATTCTTCCATGTTCAGGATGAGAAAATGAATGCTCAGTGATGAAGTAACCTGTCTACTGTCCCCCAGCCAGGAAGAGGTGGCCCTATGATAGGGCCCATTGCTCAGTTCTGTCCTTCCCAACTTGGGACTGTTGGTTGAGGGGAGGTTGCCTAGGAAATACATTGAGCTACAGAGGATAGTGACAATTCAATTTACCTTAAGAAGAAGAATGATAACGGGGCCAGACACACAGCCATGTCAAACAAAGGATGTTGCCAGCACAGTTAGTGTTTGCAGGAGAAACACAAGGAGTTACTGGTATGGTTTTCCCAGGAAAGACATGTCTTGTTGAAAGACCATTTCCTGAGTAGGACTTTGGACTATCCCAACTTACAGAGGTCAGCAACAACAGGAGGAAGGGACCAGCAAGAATGTGGTCATTGGAGATGGCACTGGAAGCTTTAAGAATAAACCAGACAGTGCTCAGCATGTGAGCAGACCAGAGAGCTTGGTACCGACTCAGACGGCAGATGGCTGGACTGACCCTGTGTTCCTGGGCAAAGGAGACAGGGCATCTACAGTGCCAGTGCAGCCCCTGGGCCTGTAGACACATCATGCCCTATTCCAAATACCATGGACCACTGGACCACTGCCTGCTGCAAATGGGAAAGGCCCATTTGTAAGTGAATGATTTTATAAAGGTTGCTCTTTATTTTCAAATTTATTTACAGTGGCTTTACCCACTGTGCCAAAACATCAGCCCCAGCATTGCTTTTTGCAAGGCAGACATCCCAGGAGAGAGAATGACCAAGAAAGTCTTCCCTCTGCAGCTAAGCCCTGTTGCTTTCCACCATGCGAAGCAGCCTGTCCATCCCCTCCAAGCTGTGAGAGCCTTTGAGATTTCCTCTGCGCGATATTGAGGTGCATGGTGCTCAGCTATGACCCATAAGCACCGCACTGTGCAGGAGATCTCAGCAAACATTCACTTCTTCCTGTTAGCTGAGGCCTTGTACCCCCTGGCTGGTTTCTCTGAATTCCCATTCTCTGTGGAGGTAACACCATTGCTATGTCGCTGTCATGGAAAAAGGAGGGAAGTTGATAAAAAACGTGGTCAAAAATCTCTGTGTTTGGCAGGCTGCCTCAAGGCCAGAATTCTTACCTCCCATGCAGTCTTCTCCCTTTTCTTGTGACATGGACATGAAGTCTAAGCTGCATGGTGGCTTGCCAGGCGTGCAGCACCTGGCCTCTGGTCATATGACCCCTCGAGGAAGGAGACCTCCGTGCTCTGCCTGAGAGATGTGTCCTTGAGTTGAAAGATTTCAGACAGTGCATTGCTATTGACACTCTTGCCCTGTCACCATGTAGAACTCTGAACTCACTGGAGCAGCCAGTAATGGGGGTCATACCACTTCCTTCCTCTGTTTTCTTGTATTATTCAGTGCTGTTAAAACTTCATAGTCTAAGTCATGGCTTTCTGGAAGGCTTGCTTTTCCTCTTTGTACTGTTCCCCCCTGGCTAAGGTGTGAATGCCGAGTGTGAGGCTGCTCTCTAGGTGAAAGTCGCTAAATCAAGGTTTCAGATGGATGGTCTCCTGCCCTCACTTCCTGGTTCAGAGTTGCTCTCCACAGGCCTTTTTTTGCCCTTCCCTTAGACTTTCTTTCCTTAAGAATATATTCAGTTGAGGATTGCTGACTTTATTTACTGCTCTGCTTTCCACCCAGTCTTGTGTTACAGAAGAGAGCCCCATGAGATCATGTGGAGGGGTGCAGAGTGGTGTCAGACCCAGGGTAGGATTGCTTTGTGTGTTCTGTGGAAGCTGTCTCGGGTTCCTGTGCAAGGAAGACTCGAGAGTGTGTGTGACTCATACGTTTCCTCATGATGGAGTTAAGCATCTGCTCCTATCTGGAGGAATGACACATAGGGAGAGAGAGAAAGAGATCTTCCATCTGCCGGTTTATGCTCTGAATGGCCAAATGATTGCAATGGATAGGGCTGAGCCAGGCTGGAACCAGGAGTTCAGGTCTTCCATGTGGATGGCAAGGGCCCAGACACTTGGGCCATCTTCTACCTTTCCAGGTGCATTGGCAGGGAGCTGGATCAGAAGTGGAGTGCCCTGTTGTAAGCAGGAACTTAATTCACTGCACAACATCAGCCCTTTCTGTTTGCCAGAGTAGCTTCTGATACTAGGATAAGCAGTTTTTAATTATGGTACCCAAGACAGCAGTTTACTGTCAATTGAAAAAATGTGATCAAGCTACAATGGCCTAATCATTCCCTCAAAATGAGTTTCTCATGTGAAAGTTAAAACACTTAAGAAAACACATTGAACCATTATTCTGCTGTCATTCCTATGAGCTGTGGAGTCTATCCCCAGTTCATCTTCTCTGTGATTTTCCTTTTTTCTCATTTTGCTTTTGACAGTTAGATCTTTACACCTGATCACTGATATATATTTCCCTATTTGCAGGCATACAGGGAAATATTAAAAGCTGTAGAAAAAGCCAGTTTTACTTAGACCTCATGAGCTTAGAAATTCCTCCTACAAGTCTTCTTAACATTGGCCTTCTGGGTTGTGCCCGTGACAAACAGATGCAGTGGGAGAATGAATGTAGCTTAAAAGCCACAGCTTCTTGGCGGCATAGAAGTGAATTTGAATCTCGCTTTGGGGTCCTACAGCAAGTGTAAACTTGAGCACACTGCCTCATCGACCTGAGCCTCAGCCCCTTCACTTGTTGGATAGCATCTGACATTCACCACACTGCTGTGAGGACCGGATGAAGGGCTGAGAGCTGCCAGGCAGTGTCTGCTCTTCTGCCACACTGCTCCCTTTGGAGAGTAGATGTCCTGCATTAACCTTCAGGCATTCTCATGTGACTGGTATGCTGAGTCTCTGTCTGTGACGCCACCATCCCATCTGAGCACGAGTTCTAGTCCCAACTGCTCTAATTCCAATCCAACTCCCTGCTCATGGTGAGGGGAGATAGCAGAATATGGCTCACAACTTTGGACCCCTGCACTTATGTGGGAGATCTGTAAGAAGCTCCTGGTTCCTAGCTTCAGACCAGTCCAGCTCTGGCCATGGCAGCCATTTGTGGAGTGAACCAACAGATGGAAAATCATTCTGTATCTTTCTCTCTGTAACTCTTTAAGTAAAATAAATAAATCTTTAAAAAAAAAAAAACACTACAATTGGCAGTAATTTGGC